ATTAACATTCTTTATGCATCCACGTATAATAAAATAGAGACAATTAAACCTAATAAAGCTCAGGTAGTTGTGCCCTGCCCTCCTTATGCTTTCTTGTTCCTCTTACAGCCTCCCAGAAGAGGCCAGGGCACGCCTGATGGATTCAAATGGGGCAGGGTCAGCCCTTCTCTGTATAGCCTCAAATGTCCAAAACCCCATAGAGAAGGGACACACAATAAGCTCCCATTCCTGCATTGGCCCAGAGATCAGCCCGGGTGCAGAGGTGTCCTGGGATGGATGACTTGGGACAGTCTCCCCAGTTACAGCTGGGCACAAGATGAACTGATGTAGTTAGATGGAAAGTAAACACTTGGCTGTTTTGAGAAGTCACCTGGGAGCTCACCATGCGTCTGAGGACTGGGTGTCACAGAGAAATCCCACAGTCCCGTTTTGAAGACTGGTCCTGATGTGAGTTGGCAGTAAGACGCTCTGAGTACTGTCACTAGAGTGGGAGAGGCAAGTGTATTCATCAGGCACAGCCACAGAGAGACCCCATAAAGGCCATGGGTGCATGGGTGCAAGTCCAAGCTTCTAGCAGCTGCAGTAGTGGATGAAGGAACAGACCCTTGGATGATATTCTCTCAGGGTCCAGCCACCAAGTTGGAGCATCTCTCACCAACAAGGTCTCTTGCACACACAACCAAGGGACCAAGGCCACATCATGTTGAAAGTAGGGCTTAGGAGCCGAGAAGTTATATGGAGAGCATTGCATTTCTCCCCCAGAACTGGATGAAGAGTGTGTGGTTATGAGCATGGCCATCAATGAACCACAAAGCCTTTTAGCATCCATTATTTGCAACTGCTGCTGAGCAAACAAATGTGACCACATCAGTCACGGGGGCCCACCCCCAGCTGAAAGCTGTTCACATCAGCCAGTGCCTCCCCCCAGGAAAGAATAGCTGACCCTGAGGGAGCGTGGTACAAACCCATCCCCCTTTCCCTTCTGTAGGCTTGTCAGGAAAAGACAAAATGGGGTATCTCACCTCTCCCTCCCTCTATCATGCCACCCTTCAAGGAGGTCCCCATGGTCCGTGAATGATCACTGTGGGCCGCATCTTTCTCCCCATGTCAGCTTAGTAAGTCTCGCTCACAGGCAAGTGTGGGGGACGTGCACATTCCCACCAGATTCCTGTTTGTGGCCAGCAGCAACTGAGGATCTCAACATGGGCATCAGTGCTCAGAGGTCAGATTCATGTGAGAACCTTCTTTCAGCCCCACATCACCTGCCGTGACTAGAGGAGGTCCAAGGCTCAGTTGGGTTTCAGCCCAACACAGGTCAAAAAGGAGGCTCTCCTGGGCAGCCAGGGGATTTGGCTGGCAGCCTAAGGGGTGGTTTAACTTAGCAGATGCTGGGCTCCCTTGGCAGAGCAGAAGTGAAAAGCCCTGCAGATGCCTCTTCCCAACCGCAGATCTGCCCTGGCTTCTGAGTGAGGGTTCATGCTTTGCCAGCACACTGGAACCCCTGCACCCCTCCACCTGCTTGCTTGTTTATCCTCAGGCTGCCAGCTTAACAGCATGGTTTGTTTATTTATTTTATTGGTGTTTCTTTCTTTTCTCCCCCATCTACCCCTCTCTCTTTTCCCTTTTGTCTTCTTTATTTTTTTTTTTTTTTTTTTTTTTTTTTTATGAGTTCCACCGCATTTCTTGGTAAAGCACTTTAATCCATTTTAATGCCCCAGTTCTGCTCCTCAGTGACAGCCTGGTGGTTAGTCTAATGCGTCCCGCTCACCTCGGGGTTACTAATGAGGTCATGGCAAAGGCAATCTCCAAACTGAATAATTCACTAATCAGATGCTGCAGACTCCAGTGGTAAAATTTATTTCTGACACCTAAACAGCAAATGGCTTTGTGGACACACACACACGTGCACACGTGTCCACACACATGGCACTTCTCTTTTTCTTTCTTCAGAGTTATTTTTGGTGAACTGGTGCTGTGCCATTTATTTAATGATGGGTCTCCCCACAAGGAAGACTGTCTCATCCCAAGCTAAAGGCGAGGAGGAACTGGTGTGATGGAAAGGTGCATTGGGCATCTCCATGGGATGTCTGACTGAGTGTGACGGGCCAAAGATTTGAGAACAAAGGCACTCTCATACCATGTACAGAGACTATCTGTTGCCAGTTTTCTCCTGGCCTTAGCTTTGAGGGAACTGCCTGTCCAACCACTGGGAGGTATTCACTGTTGATTCAGGCATAGGGAGATAAAGAGTCTTGGGACTAAGGACTAGTTAGTCTTTTATATCTTTATAGCTGGAAAATAGAAAAAACATCCATGGAATTGAAGCCTCCCACCTGTGGTGGGTTTGGTGCTGGCATTGCAAATCCCTATTCCCTCTAGGACCAGTCTCCCAGATCTCCTCTCACCTCTGCCACTTTGTATTATCCAAATAAAACTGCCTGAGTTCCCTCTTATCCCTTTTTTGTATTGAAAGCAATCTCCGTCACTTCTTTGTGCCCCCCCCCAGCATCTCCAGGAGAGGAAATAGTAATAATCCAATTAATTAGAATTGCTAAGAATAAAAGTCATAGAGAGTCATTAATAATAATTAACACTCCATATTCCTGGAGGAGGCAGCAGTCTGAAAAATTTTTCTTGTCCACTGCTAAGCCAGAAAAGAGGTGGCTGGTGCTGTTACATGCCTGGTGGGTCCCCAGCCTGGGGTGCATGTTGACAAAACCTCCCCCTTTTCGTTGGACCTGAACCGACACTGCCTTGGCAGACAGCCAGAGCTTGGAAACCCTGGAAGGTTCCATTGGTACTACTCAGATCTGTCCACTAACACACAGGGGCTTTGTTCCCCTTGGAATTGCCAGTCTTTCTCCTGATGGTTCTTCTGCAAGAGAGGGAAGGAAGGTCTGGAGCTGTTTGGGTGGCAAACGACTCTGTGGATGGGAAGTGCAAGGGCTGGAGGTGGCTCAGCCATCCTCAGGAGGATCTCACCAGGCACAGGAGTGTTGTGACACCTCTTCCAGATGGATTTGGGCTGTGCTGGTCAAAGAGAGGGCACCAAGCTCTTTCAGAGAAGAGCAGCTCCACATCAAAAGTATAAACTGAGCTGCTCTGAAAAAGGGTGATGAGGATACAGTGATGAACCTGGACACATGGAGGGGCCCTTCCAGGAGTCTGGATGAAGAAGGAGTAACTGCTGGACCTGGCTGCAACATTGTGGAAAACTTTGTCCCAGCCAAAATGTTTCTTGGAAACAAGCTGGTTTCCACAGCCAGGAAAGGTGAGAGGACACAAGGGAGAGGGTCTGCAGATGGAGCATCAGGGATATGGGATGCTGAAGTGTCCAGGAGAGAAAATAATTTAGGCAGAGAGAGCATTTGAAGCTCTGCTCTCCAGCCCCGAGCCATGCCCTGCACACCGTCCAACCCTCATCTCTCAGCACCTGAAGGTTTGGTTTTCTTCGGAAAAGAAACAAACAACAAAATCTGAGAGTGGTGCTGAAATTGGCTCTCTCGTCCTGTGGCCAGCTCTGGTAATTGCTCAGCTAAGTGCTGGGCTGTGACAGGGCTGTACAAATGAGCTGTATGGCTTGGCACTCCACAGCTGCCCTGGGGATCCGGAGGATGATGTTAACTTCAAAGCCCATGAACATCAGCTGCAGAGGAAAGGTGGCTCAGTGGGCATCCCAGTCCCATAGCCTGGTGTTGAAATTCCGTGTGCAAGCTTTTTGGATGACCCATCGCCAGTGAGAGATGCTGCCTTGACAGGCTGAACAGTGGTGAGTGCCATGCTGGCTGCACAGGAGATTCAGGGGTCTAAAGGGAGGTGTGATTCTCCTTCCAATTTGCAGACTTAAGAGAAGGAAGAGCAGATCCTGACAGAGCCAGAGCAGCTGCAGCTGGTGGGGTTCCCACCCCAAACACTCACAGCCCCAGCCGGGAAAGAGCTGCTGGGTGATCACGGAGCTCCCACCCCTCTGCCTCGCAGGAAGGGTCGAGCAGGAGCGAATGAGCTCATCCTCACCAGAAGTCACCCTTTGATGTCCGGGCGTTCCCCTGGGGTGCAGATCACATATGGCCCAAACACAGAGCAAACCCTAAGATGCAACATGAGCAGGGAGGGAAATTCCCTTGCTGCTTCCTTTTGGTAACGCTCTCTTGCTGACCTCTTTGTGCAGTGGTGTTTCAGCAATGTCTCATTTTATGGCCAGGATGAGGAAGCAGTAAATCCAGGTTCCAGGCGAGTGGCTAACACAGCATGGAGCCAAAGTGGCCTGGTGATGAAATGTCTCAGCACAAGCAGTGACCTGACAAGGTGCCATCTTTTCTGAAAAAGGGTCCGCAGCAAGGCAGAGTAAGTCCCAGTCTGGCTCTGGGCTGAAGGGAAACATGTGAGGGACAACAGCAAGAGCAAAATGACACAAGTACCACAAACACAACAAGGTGGTGAAAGGAAAACCTCAAGCCCTGGAGAATCCGGGAGAAAGAACCCTCACCAACTGGATCAGGATAGCAGGGGCCAAGAGAGCCTCCTCTGAGTGCCAGGCACTGCCAGGCTCCCCGCCCCACTGCTGAGCAAGATTATGTGATAAATGATTGCATTAGTCCGGACAGCTTCTCATTTTCCTCCAATCTGGCCTGTCTGCCCTCTTAGCACGGGGCTCCTGATAGCATTTCTCCCTTCGCTGACTTCATTTTTCCTGTTAGGTTGTCAAGCTGTCACGGCGAAGAAAGGAGAGGCATGGACAAGGCTGTTACTGTCTGTGCTCTGAGAACGTTCTGTGCCTCTGCTGTCCCTGCCCTCCATGGCCCATCCTGGGCAGGTGCCTTCCCACCACCTGCTCATCTTCCTCAGAAACCCCCCTTGGCATTGCAGGTATCCACACTTCAGCTCAGAAGACAATGTCTCCCTCTATCCCTGACCATGCCAAGGATGCAGCACGGTTTTGTAGAAATTAAGGTTAGAAGAGGTTTTGCAGGCACTCTCTGATTGAAGACATTGTACACTGATCACAGTTTTGGGGGTAAAGGCTCATGGCTGCTGTGTTGGGGTGCACAGATGAAGCTTAAGAGCCTTTCCAAATGAAGCAGATGCTTCTGTCCTGGTTGATTGTTGGTGGAGGGAACCAAACTGACAGTGGGAACCAAGCCAAGCTTGCTCTGGTACAGCTCTCTTCTTTTCTGTACAGCCTGCCTGACGTTTCTGCTGTGAGGACAAAATGGGGAGGTTGGGGGAAAATTAGTTTTCATCAGACTCTGCTGTGTAATGTTCAGCATGGTGTCCAGGCAGCCATCCCACCTGGCACTGAGCAGCCCTGTGGAGGGGAGATGGTGGCTCCAACAAGGCTGTAGCTCCAGGGTCCTCTGATCCAGACCAGAGACACAGCTGGGGGGAAATAGCCCCATCACCTGTCATATCTCCAGTTCTTCCTAAGGCTTAGGGGGATGCCGGAGGAGGATGTGAGTGAGCTTGAGGCTTGACTTCATTTGGAGGAGAGACACACAGCCAGAGCTGAGCACTTGGGTCTCTCCTGGTCCCTTCTAAAAAGCTAGTGGTCCAGACAATACCCTGATCCCACACATGGAGGTTTTGAAAAAGCCAGGTTTTGAACTTGGTTTCCAAAGAGAACATTGTGCCTCTACAGCAGCACTGTCAGTCAATACATGCTAAACACAGGTGTCCTCAAGCCCGAGTATCCCCCAAGTGGAGATCACAACAGCACGTGGAATAGTACTCTTCCCTCTTAATCCCAACTCTGTGAGAGATGTTCAATAGCTCCCCTGTGCTCTAGATCCCCATTTCTCCATTTGCCTAAATGTCACAATAATACTATTTGCACCTTCTGTATATGCTGAACAGAGGAGATGTGCTGTGAAATCCCGTAGCTGCAGCCCTCTCACCTGAGCAAGAACAGCACTGGGAGCAGTGGTGCTGGCACCTGCAGCATTTCTAGCACGTTTCTCTTCTTCAAAGCACTTTTCAGGAGCTAGGGAAGCCTAATTATTTCTAGTAAAGAGCACTCCTCATTTTCATTTATCAGTGAGGGGTGGGACTTTCAGATCTCATTCTCCCCCCCTCCCCTAGACAGCATGTTGATATGAGGGTTAACAGCCATTTGTAATCATATTAGAGAGGCGGTTTAATTCCAAGGAGGCTCGTTCCCTGGACTCGCTGCCCTCCACTGCATCACAATGAGCAGATCAAACAGCACCAGTTCCGACTTGGAGATCGATCCAGGACAAGGGGAGCACATCCACGGGCTGGGAGCGTGGTGGAGACCGTGGCCAGCATCCTGCTCCACCAGTGGAAGTCTTTGCAAATGTCATTAAGGGAGGGCTGAATTAAGATATTGGGTACCGGGGAGCAAGGGATGGCTGCAGGCAGGGCTGCACAGCCAACTGATGGGGCAGTTGGGTGACCTGGGATGTTATCAATTTGCTGCTGCTCCATGGAAAGCGCTGAGCTCAGTAAGCACAGGGGATTTTGGCTTTTCAACACCAAGGAGAAAGCCACCTATCCCACATGAGCTGGGATCAGCTGCTGGGGAGGGCTGAGGCAGGGTAACAGTTCCACACGCCCGTACTTCAGGATTATTTAGGGTTTAGGAAAGAGACAAGCAATCAGTAAAAAATGCGGGTTTTCTCTTCAAATACCTTTCCTGCACCCCCTCATTAGACAGCCTGTTTAGCTGTTTACCTGCTAGATGAGTCTTTTTATTGAACTTGTCAATATTTGCATTTGTGCCCTGTGAAGTGGGTGAAGCTTGAATAAAGTGGCAGAAATCAGGCGGATCTGCAAAATTTCCACACAGCTCATCTCTCCAGATTCGACAGATAAAATATAATTCAGGAGGAGAAAAATCTTGGCTGGAGCAAGGGGTCAGCTCAGAAGGAAGATACAGAGACATGGAAGATGTCTGGGAGATAAATTGCCAGACGTGGGCTTCCTGAGGAGCCAGCGCTTCAGCAAGGCTGTCAGGAGTTGGAGAGGCAGTTGTGGGGTGCCCTGCTTGTGCTACAAAGGGGTGGGACCCCCAAGATGGAGCTTATAAACCCTGATGCAATTACAAGAAGGTGCAACTGCAAAACCTCCCAGCTCTTCCAAAACAAATTTCTGTCCCTTAGCTGTCACCATCGCCTTGCCCCAGCCACACTGTTCCCTATGTTGCCCTTTTGGGGACTGCTTTTGGGATTTGGCTGGGTTTGGTGGCAGCAGAAAACACCAGGCTGGTGGCTGGGGAGGTTGGGGCACCACAAAGGGGTCCTCAGTTGCCTGCTGAGGGTCCCTGCTCCAGCATCTGCTGGGAGGGGAGAGGACTCCTCTGCAGAGACAAGATCTCGTAGTTGCTGGTGTACAGTTATTTTCAGATAATTAATCTCTCAGAAGAAGGAGATATCAGTCACTGCAGACACTGAAGAGGTATCAGACTGATGTTCACTGGCAGCAATTGCTGCTCCCCTGATGCTGCCACTCCCCACACCAAACAGTCTCTTCTGTCTCTCTGGGGCCAGTGTAGCAGGGCCAGAGCTGGGCTTGGAGCAGGAAATGCTTCCCAGGCTTCTTTTCTACCTCCAGTCAAAGCCACACTGCTTTTTCATGGGACATTCTCCCTTGTCTTGCTGCAGTTCTGGGGTATGTTCTGCCCAGTCTCTACAGACACATGGCCCTGGATGGGGCCGTGTGGGTTGCAAACACCAGTTCTGCTACTAATGAACTGCATCAGTCCCTGGTTCTTGTCAGCCTCCTCTCTTAATTCTTTCAGGCACAAAATCTCCAGTGCTTTCCTCAGTTTTGTCTCTTTCCCTGGTTGAAGAGAGCCAGGGACAAGGTGGGGGAGGGACCCCAGAATCAGGGTCTGTGGTCTGCAGGAGATATACCAGGCCAGAGGACCCAGAAGATTCAGTAAGAACACAACTAGTTCTCTACAGCAATAATTCCTTCTCCTGAGCTTTCCAGCTGAAGGTCTGTTGATTCCCCTTGTCCATCCATGTTGTCTCTATCCCTCTTTCAATGCTTTCTCCACTCTGGAAACCCACAGGACTCAGCACCACCGAGACCTGCAGTCCCCTGGGCATGTTTGAGCTCCTTGGTGGCTTGTGAGTCCACCCTAAAGGCTTTCAAACCCAAAAAACCCAATTTATTTCCCATCACATGCACCCAGACTCTCTCTGGGACCCCATGGAGTCTGAATTTAAGGAGAGAGAAGCCATCATTAACGAAAAATTGCTCCCATTCATTTTCATTTAGTGCTCTGTCCCAAAGGGAATGGCTGATCTGCATTTTGACAGGGACACAGGGCCCAGTGGACCATGTAAGTATCAATTTTCCAGAGTGGGCAGATCATGTGTAATTATAGACCATGCCAGGGTTTATGGCTGTGGAGAATCTCTCTGACTGACACTAAAATGCTTATGAAGTTGTTTTGAGCTTTTTCCAGGAGGAAGAGATCCAGAACGGGTCATTCAACCCTCCCAGCACCTCCTTCTGCCCCTCCTAATATCAGATCACCCCATGCTCAGAGCTAAGCCTTGGGGGAAGAGTAAATAAGCAGTAAAGGACTATAAATGCCAGAAAAACAGTGCAGGACTTTGCCTCCCTTCTCCAAAACAATATGAGAAGAGAAAAAGAGACTGAGCTGCAACTCCCGACAGCTCTAAGAGAAGCCCGTAGCTGTGAGGTTGCTTTGGGCTGAACCATGACTATCAAGCCCTAAATATAAATAGATTATAAAACATCTCCAGGATCCTGGATTGGATGGAGACAGACCCTAGGATCTCCTCTGTTATTTCTGCTATAGTTTCATCCCAATACTTTGCCAGAAGCAACTCAAAGAACAACCAGACAAGTACAGGTTTACTCCAAGAGATGCAGATCCTCACACTGGTTGCTACTGGAAGACTTGACCTCGGGTTCCTTGGTGTAAACTGAGTCAACCTCCACTGAGCCTGGTGCAAGCGGCATGGAGAAGGTCAGAGCCATCCCCAGGAGCTCAAAGCCAGTCCAGTGCTTTGGCACAGAACCTGGCTAAATGGTCACACCTTTGGGTGAAGCTCCCTGCTCACACAAGTCCTCATCTTTCATAAAAAGAACTTTTCTGTGAATTATGGGGAATGAGCCACATGAGACACCAGGCAGTCTCCTGAGAAATTTTCAGACTAAATCTAGGCTCTCCAGTGAGTCAGTAGCAAAATAGGTGAGAAAAAAAAATGCTTTTAGGAAAAAAAGTGAGATGATCTGAGAGAAGGAAAAAAGCCCTCAGAGCAGACATTTAACAGCATGGTCATAAAACAGTGGAATAAAAAAAGAACGTGAAATAACAGGATTGGTGCAATCTTTTCTAATTTCTGAATCACCACCTCTTCTGGGGCCTGTAAGCATGCACAGAGGGAGTCCAGCCAAGCCCACCTCATCTGAGTGACCAGCCAGGTACATCCACACTGCTCTCTTCTTTTCCAGCCCTCCTCCAAACACCCCCCCAGAGCATCCCACCCATAAATGGTGGGACACCTCCAAGCCCAGGATGTCTCAATGAGGGAACACTGGTAAGTGGAGCAGCTGTGGTTTCAGATGGCCCACTTGTGTCATTCCCAAATAGCTACCTCCATGTAGACACTCTTTGTGGAAGAAGAGAGATTTCCCTTCCAGAATAATTACTGCGCTTGGAAGCACACTAATTAGCCTGGAACAAAGTGGCTCGAGTGTCCGCATGGGGAGCTATTGTGGAATAGCTTATTCTGTCAGAGCTATTCTGGGCAATTTCCTTTCACAAACAGGCCATGAGATTTAATTTTCCTTCTTTCTACAAACAGATGAAAGGTCTGTGCTTACCAACCCCAAATCATCCCAGCCTTCCTTGCCAGGGGCGAGTGATGGGTGCAAATTGTCCTGAAATGTCCTGTCTTTGTGACTCCTTAAATTTCTTTTTTTTTTTTTCTTGAAGGAGGAGACATAAACCAGGAAGATTTACATCACCAGGACTCTGGACCCTTTCCAAAGGGTGAGGTCTAACCCAGCATAAATTAACCCGAACAATGGCAAGTCAGGACAATGTTCTGATCATCCCACGAACACTCAGAGGTCTTACGCAATACATGTTTACCAGGCAAAGACTGTAGAGGAACAAAAAAACCACCAAGAGGTTCTGTAAACAGAAATACCCTCTCTTAACTCAGATTGCAGTCCTACAGGAAACGCATTATGAGCTTCATTAGCCTGTGATTAAATTCACCTTTCCCCAGCACACAAGATGGCAATGAAAAAGAAAGGAAGATACTGGGGAAGAAGAGAAGAAAAGCCCATGGTGCTCATGAGGTTAGAAGGTGGAAGAACACTGGGGCTTGTTTTGTGGAGCCTTTAACACCCAGGGGCCTCAGTGATGGGCAAATGGGTGAACATCAAGATAGACCCACCTCTAGCATAGATTTTCCTCATCTCCCTCCACACACAGCAAGTCTCACAAATATGGAGGGGGAGGGCAGACTGGAAGCATAAGAACAGCTTCACAGCAAAGCTGTGAGACATGGGAAGGACCAAGATCACCTGCTGTGGGAGACAAAGCAGAGGGTGGCATCAGCTGTAGGTCCAAAAAGGCTCAGAGAGAGCACTGGCAGCCTGGGATGGCTGCAGATACCTGGGACATGGTGTGTCAGGGCATTGCAGCGACAGCCAGGGAGCCAAGGGGAGAGCAGAGGACTAAACCGTCTACTTTCCACTTGGTAAAAACACCACCACTTTGATTTCACTTCTTCTCAACATCTGTCCCACTTTGTGACAGCTCCCTTACTTAAAAATAAATCCTTGGGGAAAAAAAAAAAAAAAGGGAAGAAGAAGAAAAAAAAAACAACTCTGCAATTTGTTCCTCCAAGCTGGGCTGCCTTTCTGGCCCTGATTTTATCAGAGTGGAGACAGGCTGTCCTTGCAGAATGATTTTACCATCTTGAAAATGATTACAGAGCTGCACAATGCCTTCAGCTCACCATGTAACGATATTTTTATATGCTGTCTCATTAGATCGCCACCCGGGTTGAGGATGTTTTCAAACATTGTCTCTTCATGGTCGGCGTACCGC